ACGTTCATGTGAAATTTAGAGCTAAAGAATATGGAAATACGGAGATGCGAAATAGCAGAAATGCGTCCAAATCAAACTCGAAACCGTTAAAGAACTAATGATAGACCGATACTTGCGATATTCTTATACGCAAATTTCGTAGCATAAGCAGTCTGCCTTTCTGTGTGGGCATAAAGAGAGCACATCATTTGGGGCTCCGGTATGTCCATCACCTATTACTAACAGGACTCACCACTCCCCTATCTCCACTATCATGCATTTCCGACAAAGAAGAGATGAAAAGTTGTAAAGCAATAAAGATACCAAAATGAACGACCTTGAGATATTTTCCGAAATATAAATCAGCAAACGTTGGTTACGATATAACAGGATAATTGTTTTAGAGGACATTAAAATGACTATCAGCACTGAAAGAATCATGCCAGTAACATGTATTGGAAATTGTAGAACACAGATTAATAATTTAGATCAGCGCCGAAAACTAACCAATGATAGAACGGGATTTCACAAAACATCTGAATTCGCCCTCGGGACGAAAGTCACGCCATCTACGAAGAATAAGCTTGAGGTCGACATGTGCTTGCTCAGAGGCAGGCGTGTCAGAACACAAGGAGAACCTAACTGGTTAGAGCATATTAATGAAGGATTACGGAGCTAAAATATCATATGAGACAAAGTCTGAAGCTTTGAGGAGAAGTAAGATATCGGCGGCAGAGTAACATTTCAAGGAATTTCCAAAAGAAACCCAGGTTGCGTCCTAAAATATTTGTCTTATAAAGGATCGGAGTAGACCTTTGGCGCACTCCAATTAAGTTTTGCAAAGACCGGACCGTCAAGATCTTCAATCCCTTGATTAATTGCCTTTTCAAAATCTGGAAAATTAGGCCGCTGAGGAAGAATTTCTAATCAACAAAAAGACGTACCTTGTCTTCGTCAGAATCGTCGTCAGACCATTTATCCTATGCAGGCATTATTTAACGAAAATGTAAACTACCTCATCTGAGTCCGAAAAGTCAGTGTTACCTTTCCGTATAGATGTTAGACTAACGAGTCAGGAACTAATAGTCATTTACTTTTTTGGAAAAATTAACGGAGCATTTTTCAAGAAATCCAAAACGTCTTTTGGAAGATCAAAAATTAGACTGCAACAAATTAAGTTAAAACAAAACTTGCCTCTCAGTTGTGTAATCTTTGAAGCTATTGTACCAGGAATCAAAAGAACATGCCAATACTTCTTCCTTTCTCATTTTGGACTGTAACGATGATCATACAAAAGCATCCGATCGACGAAACCAATAAACGCTTATGCAGCCGAAAGACCAGGGAGATGCGTTAGTTTAGTTTGCTCAAACGCAGATTTACCAGTGGTAACTGCTATCTGACACAGCAACTGGGAGTTCCTTACACAATAGATCTATTTTACTGGTGCCTTTTT